TGGTTCGATGGAAGTTGAGTGATCAGCTGAAAGACCCTCTCATGAAGGATCCTGTAACCAGTCCTACTTTGTCTGCTTAGAGAATGCAGAACAGGCCAACAGCACCCAATGTCAGATGCCTAACAGTCCCTTCAACTCCCTTTCAAAGCCTCACTTCAGGAGAAGAGAAGGTGGAATAAGAAAAGATGTGCTGAGGGGCTGGAGAGATGGCTCAGTGCTTAAGAGCACTGGTTGTTCTTGCAGAAGACCCGGGTTCGAATCCCAGCATCCACATGGCAGCTAACAACTGTCCGTAACTCCAGTTCCAGGGGATCCGATGGCCTCTTCTGTCCTCCGTCAGCATTGCACGAGATGGGTGCACTTACCTACATGCAGGCAGTACATTCATACACATGAAATAAAAACAAAAATATTTAAAAATAAATAAATAAAAATAAGTTTTAAAAAAGAAAGAAAGACATGCTGAGAGTGGTGGCACATGTCTTTAATCCCAGTACTTGGGAAGCAAAGGCAGACAAATCTCTGTGAGTTCAAGGCCAGCCTGGTCTCCACAGCAAATCCAGGCCACCTGTGACTACAGTGAGACCCTGTTTAAAAAAGACCAAAAAAAAAAAAAAAAAAAGAAAGAAAAGAAAGAAACAGAAAAAGAAAAGATGTATTTGGAAACAGAATGTATACAAGAAGGAATGTCTCCCTGTCTGTTGTCTCGAGCTAGTCATACATGAAGACCATGGGTGTGTAATTTGGGATCAGGTCGCTATTTTCTGTGACCTCTATACAGTGTAGTCAGTTTATGAGATTTACTGCAGACTTGCAAAGAGTGACAACCATGGATGGACACTCAGGTGCTGAGTGTGAAAAATGTAAAGATAACATGCCTCAGAAAGCCATGAAAACACCACCAAATGTAGGCTCTTTTCTTCTGTTTCAAGGAATTTTGATCAAAATGTAAAACAGGTCAAGCCAACGTCTGCTTTTTTGCTTTATATATGAAACCACCTGGGTCCTGCTGTCAGGAGTCCACAGGGTCATGGGTATGTGGGTCATGTCTGGGGTTAAAATGAACTCAGGTGCTCAAGTGACCCTCAAGTTAGCAGATTTCACTGTCTGTAAACCCTTGTGGTCAGAGACTCAGAAGACTAACAATCGAGCATTAGTATGACTTCAAATGAAAAATCTCAAAATATATATTAAAACTGCTAGAACATGGCCCCAGAGATAACTTTTATACAAGTTATTTTTATCTTGCATATCTGAATCATCACTTGCAATGATTCCTTTCCTTGTGTGGAAGAGGAAACAGGACAACCCCAACAAAATAAGGCTGGGGGAGGGTGGAGAATGCCAGCAACCAACCGCTAAGGCAGAAGGAGCAGATTGCTTTCTACAAACAGCATGCTTTACCTCAGAGTAACACACACTTTTCACACCTTACACACCTGAACAAAACGGAGAAAATCTTCTCTCTAAAGATGGTCAACTGGGTTTCACTAAGTTGTGAAAAGGTGAATGAAAATATGAGCCTCATTTTAGCAGCTGCAAGTGGAGGGGTAATGAAAGCATAAGCAAGTTACTACAATTAAAAAAACAAACAAACAAAAACAATCCAGAACACCTGCTGATCAGGACACACCTACTGCCAAACTTTCCCACCAGCAGAACTATCTGTCCCTAGCTTTGTGGTAGAAGATAAGCGGTCTGGAGACACAGCAGGTAATGTTGAAGGTCAAGGCTACAGGGTGCCTCCCAGATAAATGATGCCAAGAGCAAATAAGGCTCAATGTTCAGAAACAGGCTGAGCCATTGGGCCTGTGTACTTGCACAGGACACAGAACATGTGACTGATTTCAGAGCCATGTGTCATAGGTAGAGGGTAAGCGCTAGCACCTTCACTCATTTGCAGGGACTCTACTGCACTATGTTAGACAATTAGAGCCCGGTGGACCAAGACCCCTCCCTTTTGTGGAGCTCATGAGCCAACAGTGAAGCAGAGAGAAAGGCAAAGTGGTGGGGCCGCTCACAGCAGAGACAGCTTCATAAGGTGACAGCACAGAGGGGAGAAGGGGAAATCAGCAAAGATGCTCAGGAAAGAACCAGAGCAGACCAGACCAAGCACAGGTGTGAGGTGAGGAAAAGCCGAGGGGGTGTCTTAATTTCATCTTCTACCTTTGCTTCCTAGGACAAAATAAGGACCCCAGTCATGTTTACTGAATGAATGTAATGCCCTGTATCTAAGACTGTTCAGCAAACTAATTCAATGTGTAGGCCAGGGTGCTTTGAACAACTGCATGCAAACTATATTGAGGAAAGCACATTTTTCTGAGAGGAGCTGCTTATTCAGACATTCACACAGGGTTTTTATTTTAAACATTTACAAAGTATTTGCCATGTGCTTGGCACTTGCTCAGCTGACAGGACTGCGCTGGCTTGTCCTACCCATGCAACTGCTTCTTGCTTTCTTCAACCCCACAACTAAACGTCACAGCTTTCTTTCCAGGTGTGGTACGAGGAAAGAGAAAAGTAGATTCTATTGCATAGGGAGGAACCTCTCATAAAGTCTACTCTGGACTAGGGTTTAATGACACTTTCCTTTAAAATACAAAGAGGTAGGCAGGCATAGTGGTGGATACCTGTAGTCGCTGGTACCAGAAAGTCCAGGAGTTCTCGACTTTCTCTCAAGAAAAGGGAGAGAAAAAGGTGGGGATAAGCAGGACACAAGAAACAAGATTTACATCCACACTGGTCCAAGCTTCCTGTCTACCTCAGTGCCCCTTAACGGTACCCACAGGTGAGAACTACACAGTTCTTAGAACTTGGGGAGCAGCCTTCGAAATGAGATACAAACAGCCAGATGTGCAAAAGAATCAAGTCAGATGAAGGAGCAAAAAGACAACTAAAGAATTGCATCACGGTAAGAGGAGAGTGGAACTGTCTTTTCTTACCTTTTCTTATCATCACGTAATTTTTCACTATAAAAGCTTTGGAAATAAATATGCATTTAGGAAAAATAAACCAGCACTTGCACGTTCGAACACATCAAACTTGTCTTTGTAACTACTATCCATATCAGTTTAGCATGGACTCATGGGAGCTGTTCATTTCTCACGTCACAAAAATCATATGTAAATGAGAATATGAGACAAAACGTTCGGTATGATGCCCTCGACGTGACTCCCTCACTGCCTTCCCAAGCTTTCATCGATTCCTAATTTCTCATTTATATTCAGGCTCGCTCTTTCTAATACTTCCATGCACATTATCTTGAGTCTCTTTCATGAATTCTACTAAAAATTTTCATTTTACTCTTTCCATGTATCAAAAAGAAAAATGAAAAGCTGTTAAAAATCTTAATGCTCACCTTACATGAGCAAGAAAGCATAATAAAAGAGTTTAACACCTTAAAAAGAGGAAACCGTTTTCCCTCCTAAGTCCTGCTCTTCTGAATATTATATCCAAATACACTTATACCTGATGCAGTTTTGTTCAGAGACTGTTTTCACAAAATCCTGCAGTCAGTGATCACAACCAGGTACCCTTAACTCTGCTTCCTGTATCTTCTTCTCTAATTCAAAGGGTATTTTTTTATGGTTCTGCAACCCTTTGTATTTTGGAACTGATTACGTCATTCTTTTCGAATGAGCCTACTTAAGGCAGTGTTTCTAACTTGTAAAAATTAAGAAGCCAGGTTTTAAGAAAATGTTATTTGGTGGAGAAAATAATTGTGTCTCTCTTTGATCTGCTAAGCACTACTATGGAAGAAACACTACAAAACTGCATGTGCATGAATGTTCGCACTTCTAGGCTTTTTGACTTGCAAAGAATTAATCACTTTTCATTTAATACAGTAAAAAAATCATTCAAGTTACTACTGTACTCATAAAGCAAGTATCCCTTAGGATCTGAGCAAAACAGGAAAAAAAAGCACCCTCCAAGGGTATCCCAAGTCCATTCTCTCCCTTTCACAGTGTTCTCAATCCTGCTATCCAGTGCTGAAAGGCAACTCACCTCCTTGTAGTCCACTTCTTTATTCGTATCCCCCATTCATTCAGGAAAGCATAACATAGTCTTATCAGAATCCCTTCCAGAAACCTCCTGTGAAGCCCTAATCAGTTCTACTCGGTGTGTAACTACAGTCCCTCAGCTCCATCTAATTTAAATGTACCTTCTTATCCCTTTCTAAGTCTCTGAGGGGAAAAAAAGACTACAAGAAAAAAAATGTGTGTGAGATTTACTCGTGAGAAAACCAGGATCTAGCAATGCTGAGAGCAGCAAGTGGAGCATAAGGCTTGTCTCGGAGAGAAACCTAACAGAAGAAAATCCTTCAAGGAACAGCTGTGCCCAAGCTCCAGTGTGGACCATCTCCAGCCAACAGCAAGCAGATTTTGAATGGAGGTGGTTTCCATTTAAAGAAGTATCTGGTGAACTTGGGTTTCCTTTCATGGGGACTAAGCGGACTACAGGCACTAACACAGAAGGACACTGCCTGGGAGGGAAAAGGCACCCCTTTCATTTTACGCTAGCTCCAGGACTGGGCTCCAGCTTAAGCCTCAGTGTTCCAGGGGAGGAAACCAAGCAGAAGATACCGGGTTAGAAAAACAATGGTTCTTCCCTGCTGAGTTCTGTGGTCATTTTAGGACCCTACATTTTTCCGTGCAGATCATATCAACATTAGATATGCTTATAGCAGATTTTTTTACTTTCCTGAAGTAATTATTCAGATACATAATACCAATCATAAGAATGCCACTACAATAGTAATGCTTGGCAGTATTCACCAAACAGGTGCCCAGATACCATCTCCCTGTTTTTACAACTCCCAACCCTTCAAAAGCAAGCTTACAGCCCTAAGATGACCTACCAAGCTTTTGTACACCATAGGTCAAGTTACCAGGATGACTTCTTCCCAGAGCTTAATATCCGAGCTCAAATCTAACATTTTTACAAATTAAAAAAAAAAATGAAACAAAAAGTCATGAAAAAAATCACATATCAGTGCTGACCTTGTTGTTCACTATCTGCTTCAGTTTTTGAGGAACCTGGTGCAACAGGAAGAGGTCGAGGTGGCCTGGGTTTTGGAGTGGGAGGCGAGATTCTTTTCCTTCCAATATATTCTACGTAAGTTCCTGGAAAGTCTCCCCTCTCCCCAGTGGTTTCATTATAGCCATTTAACCAGCCAATATCTTCAGGCCTGGCTTCCTGTCCATCACTGAATCCAAGTGCCACCAAGGATCCTTTATTCACAGTCAGTATGTCCCCCAAATGCAGGTCAATGTCTTCTTCCCTCTCCTTCCTGTAGTCATACAGAGCTCTGTACTGGTACCCCTCAGCACTCATGTCTGCAGATCTGTCACCATGCAATAGATGAGTCTGCTTTTATACTGCAGTCTGATTTTAGGTTTTGATGGAAAGCGAATTCAGGGAGTGGGCTAAAATCCCTACCAGGTGTCCAGCTGAGGACAAAGAACCACTCTCCAAAGGTTTAAGAGGAGAGGTGACTGGCCATTCGGCTGTCCATCTGTCCTCCATCAATGGTGTGACTAAAGACAGTGCTCCAATCCCTCTGCTTGCCACAGTCCTCCTTGGCGTCCTTTTCAGCAACTTGTCAACACCTTGACTCCCGGCCGACTCTCAAGGCGAGGCCCAATCCTCTCTGACGCTCTTGTCACACTGTCCATCTGTCGTCTGATTTTACTGCCACACTCCACTCACAGCTTCACCTAGCAAAGGGAAAACAAGGCTTATGAATGAACATCACACTTTGCCATCTGTGTGGATTTAAATTTCTACTTCTATTCAACAAGTACTTAATCAATTTGGCAGACACACACAGGCCAGAGTGCTACTGTTTGACATAGTATACACAACCAAGATTAGTAAGACAGTCCCTGCCTTCTAAGAACACTGGGTGGGGACAGGAGGAGGAGTGTTGGCATGTGGCAATGTCCCAGAGATATGACTGGTACACAAGGAACCAAAACATTAGGTAAATGCCATAACAGATACAGATACGAAATGCCGTGGGGTTCAAGTAAAAGACCACATCTAATTGCAGAAATCTGCAGACAGAATGGAATGTGTGGCATGATCCTGGGTACAGAAGAGACTAAGCAAATGTCATAAGTTGGGAAGAGCTAGCACAGGAAGTCCCATCCATCTGAAGACAAAGAGGGAACAGCGGGCCTGGGTTAGAGACAACAGGGGTTGTTCAGTCCTCCAATGAGCTCTGCAGGGGCATGGAGAAGCAGCAGCGATAAAAACTGCACTCAAGGAATCCCAATCTGACAAGGTGCCCAGGAGAGGCTGGGATAGAGACAAAACAGAGGTGAGGGCTGCGAAAAAGTTACACTGCAGCAGCTGGTCACAGGGCACAGCTTTGAGGACAGGGACCAGGGAGGCGGCAGCAGGTACATGGAGGGGCACACTTGGTACATGGAGGGGCACACTTAAGTGAAAAACAGTATAATGAAGGGGACAATGTGTGGGAGGTAAAAATGCCTGATGCTGTGTTACTGAGAGCTCTGTTCCGATATTAGACATAGGGAACCCAAAAGACCTAACGGGCTTAGGAGATGCAGGATCCACTGGCAGGTGTGCTAGTGACTGGCTGAGATTCATGAGAAGGGGTTCGCCCCAAGTTTTGTAATCAGCTACAAATAAGACAGGGCTGATTTCAGTCCAATGGAAAAGCAACACACACACACACAACCAAAAGGATCAAAACAACATGATTTAGTCAATTAACTGAGGAGAGAAAAGTCAAGGTTTAGATACAAAAGTCCCCGAAATAGAAATAAGCAAGATCAGGTTGCAACAGGTGACCCCTAGACCAAAGCCCTGCAGAAATACATGCACAGGGGAAACTGAGTCAAGGTTAGACCATGGGACTCTGCTCATTCTGGAACCACCACTGACATTTTGAGATTGCAGATTCCAGGCCAGGAAGGAGGATAGCACCTAGGTGTCAAGGCGTTAAGAAATTAAAGGAAGTTATCAATGCTTGCTACTGTGAAATACTATGTAAACTGGGCTTAGTGGAGGGGTAGTAAGGAAAACATTTTTTTCTTTTTCTTTTGGTTTGGTCTTTTTGAGACAGGTGTCCCTGTAGCCCCAGCTGGTGGCCAAGAACTCACTATGTAGACCAGGCTGGCCTCGAACTCAGAGATCCACCTCTGCCTCCAGAGTGCTGAGATTAAAGGTGTGCACCACCACTATTGTCAAGCATGGTGAGGGCAGAGCAATTGGTGAGCCAAAGTTAAGTCAGCATGGATGGCTGATGGGACAGTGTGCACACATTCACACACACACACACATCCCTTCTGTACTCCATCAATTTCTCAATGTCATCTCTGCTAGAAAGAGTAAAATCAAGCTAAAGGTTGAAGCGAAGCTACCTGTACAATTAAGCATTACAAGAAATAGCTGCACCATTTCAGGGCGCTATATCAAAGAGCTTTTCCAAGTTTGGAAGAGTGAAACACTTTAGAAGTTTAGTATTATAGGCACTCCAGTGTAGGCATCTTAAGCAGCAAAATCTAATCACAGACTGTGTTAGCATTCAGAAGTGCAAAGTATTCAGCTTCACATGACTAAAGCCTCAGCTGTAATACAATAACATTGTAAGGAGGCTTGCATACTAGAGGAAGCAAAAACAAACACTGGAAATTTGTGTGTAGCAAGAACATTAACTTGGGATGGTGCTGCTCCACTCTGCATTGCAGGCATCAGAGAAAAAATTAATGTAGCCAGTGGAGCATGAGAAAAAGAAGCTATATTATGTTTGAAGAAAGCCTCTCCTTTTGAAAGATCCAGAATCAAATTAAATATTCATTGCATAAATTCACACAAAAATGTAGAACTAGCAAATCTCATTTTTCAAACTAATGTGCTCTGTACAAAAGAGACACAGAACTCTAAAGAACATGAAAATTTACATATCCCTAAATGCTTGGAAACCAGGCAATATGCCTAAGAATAATTTAATTCCTCCAAATCTGCCCTGAAATTTTTGTTAGCTTTTCCTGGCAATGTATGTCTTTGTGGGGAGGAGAAAAAAAAAAATCCTCAATCAGTAGTTTGGGTAGATCTTTCTGCCAGCTGCTGCCTAGCACTTCCTCAATTTCAACCACTCAGAGGACCAATTTGGTGGGACTCTTAACAAAAGGGAGACTGCAATGGTCCTGTCACCTCCAGCCCCCAGCAACCAGCAACCGAACCCTAGCTCACAGCATATCTATAAAGTTAAGCATGGTCCTCACCCGGGAACTACTGGCCTCAGAGATAGCTCCACGGCCTTTCAAGGCTTTACAAACTCAAGATCCATTTGAGTGGACCTGGGGCTAAGTCCCTGCAAGGGACAGAAGAACTTGGAGGAGTGTGATGAGGGGTAAGAGACTAGACTGTACAGAAGCAACCCCCACCCTACAGGCTCAGTAGGACCTTGAACTTCTGCTAATGTTCTCTCCCTGCCACTGTCAGATGCAGCTTCATTTCTCTTTAAGAAAAACTCAGAGCTTTGGGTCTCAGTCTGATAAAGGAACCTCAGTTCTCCTCTGGTTCAGGGACAGCCTGTAGAGCATTCCTGTCTTCTGAGAGGCTACAGTCACAGCCAGGAAGATCAAGGCAGACAGGAAAGCTTAAACAAAGTCAGCCATAATTCAGTGTCAGTGAAGCAGTCTGAGAGCAATTTTGTAAAAGGAGAGGAAGAACAGCCAAGTCATTGCTTTGGGTGGTGACTTGATCATGAGGTGACAAGGTTCAGAGAGATCTTTCCTGGGCTGAAGAGGCAAGCCTCTCTCTGACTGCACAGTGCATACTTTCTCTGGCCTGCTGTGCTCATTTAAATAAGGCATGGCCGTCGTTATCATCCTCATCAGCCCGTGATAGTTACTGGGAGTTATGTCTACATTAACCCATTCCATCTTTGATAACCATGTAATGCAGGTCTTAACTACATGCTCACTTGACAAGGGGAGAAAGTTTAGTGTCATGACTACACTGAGCACCTGAGTTAGAACTTAAATTCGGATCCACCCAGTCTGTAGAGTGCCTTCTTTTAAGACCACCAGAACCTACTTCCAGATTCCATGTGCTTAGATACCCAGGAGCATCTCAGAGCAGTGATATAAAAAATGCAGTTGCTTGTCTGTCTACACTGGCCCCCTCAGACTAATTCTGCATATCTGCCTTCACAGTAGACAGCAGCTTCACAGGTAGTATGTTTGGGTCTCACACATCTGCACAAATAGAGGTCCTTAGAACTGGGCAACAATCCTGCCAAGTCTAGGACTCAGCATATCAGCTATGCAAATTTCCTTCTAAAGAGACTTAATTAAAATGCATCCTTACCTAAGAAGTCTGTAAACTAGTGAAACAAAGAATCCTGTGCATACCACTTCTGGAAGGCTGTCACATCTGGAATTCTGCCCTTTTCTGCCCTACAAGCTTAGCTTCTGCCACCTGTATCCCTCTTGGCATCTCTGCCCCATGCTACTCTCCTGGGCCTCTCATTGCACAATTTCTAACAACTCAGCTGCTCCCTGGGGAGATATGGGAAGCACCAATCCAGAGTCATGAGGACTATCACAGCTAGAGCACCAGCAACTTCTTTTCACCCTTCCTCAAATTCTTCCCAGGATGGCAGGGCACCCAGCAGCCTGAAGCAACTGGGAAGGCCTATGTGACTCTCCTGAAGTCCATTTGGACCTCAGAGGATCCAGACTGACAGAACAGATCTTTTCTAGAGTCACCAGATTATACTTCCATTCTCTGGGCTACAAATACCTGCCCACTGAACTATTTCTACCCAGACTCACACAGTTATTTTATATTTCTATAATTTACATTTGGTTATTTTACATGTGGATAACAGTCATCAATCATTTATTATTTTTAGATAACCAAGGAAATTCTAACACATAGCTCTAAGCTCATATATATATATGTTACTGTATCAAAAAAAAGTATAAAGGAATCATGTGAAGAAATTACAAATCAACTTTATATAAGATCATATGCAACTATTCAAAATTCCCTGAAAGAAATGTTTTGCGTGGGTCTTTCAAGTCTTTTAACAACTGCCTATAATCCCACCCAGTGGACGTACCTTTTCTTTCTCTGCTAACACATTAAACAATTCTCATTTTATTTTCCCCAAATAAAATTGTTTCTGCTGCTTGGAAAATAATAATCTATGACTGCTTAATGTGCAAGGACTTGAAAAATAGATCTTTAGTTTAACCTCCTAACCTGCAGGCACCACAGGAAAGAACCAAATATAACTCCCTGAAAAGCCCTTGAATTTTGTTCACTCACTCTATTTGCTTTTACAAAGGAAAGGATTTGGAAAACTTGATAGGGAGGCAGCAATAATGGATATTTTCAAAGTACATTAAATAAATCAAGAACATATCTACTCGGGTGTTGCCATCCTGTGATGAAATTAGCAGTGTGACACTGGGTGGCAGCACTAAATGGGTAAACCATCAAGATAAGGAAGATACTAGGGGTTCTGGGCTGGCAGCCTACACCACCCTGCATCTTACCAGTCCCCTTTCGTGCACTAGCTCAGGGTCTAGGGCAACCATCTCACCTCAGATCATACAGTCTTTTGAAAAAAAAATCATTTTCTTCACTTTTCAAACTTCTGGAGACCCTGGAATATTAAAACTGCCTTATGATCCCACCATGCATTTGTGTATAGAATGACGGAGTCGAGGTT